CCAGAAATACAGGAGAGTTCCAGTAGCTTATGTATCCAGTATTATAGGTTTCTTTGATACTGTTGTGTTTTGTATTGTTTAAAGCTATTGTAATGAGTTTAAAGTGGGACCTCCTTATGGTTTTAATTTGATGTTCCTAGTAAATAATGATATGAAGACTCTTATTTCTATATTTTAAATTAAAAATACTAAATATGACCCAGGCATGGTGACAGACACCTTCAATCCCAGTACTCCAGGTGGTTTTTTAAAATGAGACCAATGCCAGCCTGGTCTACATAGTGAGTTCCAGGCTAGCTGAGGCTACAGGGTGTCCTGATTTCAAAAACAAACAATAAATAAACAAAATATGATTAATAATAAATGAGTAAATCGTCTAGTATTTCCAGCCTAATTCCAGTATCATACAACTGCTGACACTTTGCAGGCCATTGCTGAGGAGGTGGCCAGGGAAGACTTGGTAAGGACTAAAGAGGGCCAAAAGAATGCCTCCGTCATGTGCATGGGGGAGTTCTTACTGCAGCCCTTTAACAGTGGGGAGGACCTGGGCAGGCAGAGGCTAGCCCAACAAATGCTAAATTCTAGTTGCTGGAATCTGTAATGGACTGGAAGTCCTTCCAATGAACAAAAAGACAGAGAATCTGGAGGAGGAGAATGCCTGTCATTCCCATCTTTGCAGATTCCTAAACTGATAAATACATTTATAAGGTGCTTGCACATTTCACACACATAACTCCTGTTCTTCAAAAATGAACTTTGAGCTGGTTATTGGGACTGCTCCTATTTTACAGATGAGGAGAGCAGCTGGGAGAGGTTGTTACTTACCCAGGATGATCCAACCGTCATCCCTGTGCAAAATTCAATTCTGACTTTATTTCCATAGATATGTCTACACATTCTAGAAATGTTGGAGTCTCCACCAGGGTAAGCGAGTTGCTCTTGGGTTATATGAGAGTTCAAAGATGAGCAAGACATGATTGCTGACCTAGACAGGCTCATATGCAAACAGTATTTTTTTTTTTTTTTTGGAAACATGGTCTCCCTGTAGCCCCAACTAGTCTGGAACTTGCCATGTAGACCAAGCTGGCCTCGATCTCACAGAGGTCCACCTGCCTCTGCTTCCCAAGTACTGGGATTAAAGAAATGTGCCACCATGCTTGGTAGAAATTGTATAAATTTGATGACTCTCAAATTTATGGCCTGGGCTACTTCCTCAAATTTTTTGCTCACTGCTCACTGACATCTCTTCATGGATGTTGAGGTGATTTCCAAATTGAAAAAACACCTAAGGCCAGCCTTCTACTCTTTTCCAAGCCCCATTAGCCCTTCCCTTCTTCCCTCTGGTGGTGACAACCTGCCTCAAAGCCTTGGGGTCGTCCTGGACTTTATTATTTTATTTTTTTTCATATCCACATTCCGTTTATTAGCAAGACCCATGGGCTTCATGTTGAGACACATCAGAAACTGCCCTTGTGTCACACCTAGGTAAACCCCAGTTGCTCTGGTTCAACAGTTATCATGGCCCCCTCTTCCCACTATAGTATCTCTTCAGTGTAAATGGCCTGACTTAAGTGGACTCAGATCATGTCCATCCCCTACTGAAACCGATTTACATCTTATTTAAAATAGAAACCACGATCCTTTCAATGGCCCCTTAAATTCTGAAGCATTCTGATCTCTTCTCCCTCCACCTGGCCACACAGCCCTCTGGGATCTGCTGGGGCCTCTTGCTGCAGGACCTTTCACTTACAGGCCCTGTCATCTGGTCAGTTCTCTCAGACCTGCACAGGCCTGGCTTGTTCAATCTTTTCAGGCAACCCTCCCCCGTTCATGTTCCCTATTCTCTTCTACTTTACTTTCTCTATAGTACATTGCAGCATCTGATGCAAGTTAGAGATACAGGATGCTTTGTTTCTTTATATGCTGAAGCCCCACAGGGCATCATTTAATCTATCTTGTTCTCTGCATGTCCCCAGTCCCTAGAACAGAACCAGAGTCATTCATTACAGGTACCTAATTAGTACTTTGGAATTAAGGACATAGCTGACAGAAGGTGAACATGGGCCACATCATGGGTGGGAAGCACAACAGGTATTATAGATTGCATAAGAGAAGGGATTGTCTTCAAAGGCATCTAAGAGGGCTTTGTGGAGGAGGGGATGTGATAAAAAGACTTGTTTCATCATTCTGAGCGATCACTTCTACATCCTGCATTTTTTCCACTGTATCATTCAGATTCTTGCTTGTTTAAAGCATTTAAGATTAGGATCATAGAAGCAATTTTTGAAATGTTAACGGTTCCTAGCATACATACACTCATGTGAAAATGGTTGTTAAAAGAAATGGCTGACTTTAAACTACCCTTGCCTCTCTCTGAGTGTCCTCCCATTCGGGAGTGTCCCATTCCAACTTCCTCCAAGCCCAAGGTTGTCTCCAGCCCCACCTTCCCAGTTACCTGTCCATTTCTTCCCACTGTTTATTAATGGAAGTGTTTTGAGGGCATGGGAATCTTGTGAGATTTTGTTTGGTTTTCGTTTCTGTCTCTAGAGCCCAGCATGATATCTGGCCTTTTCTGAATGTCAAGAATATCTTGGTTTCCCAGGATGGAGACTACTACATTCAGAGAGGTGGACCACTTCATCTCCACTCATCCATCTATTGTTGGCCAAACTGAAATCAGTTAGCCGAAATTCTGTTCCAAAGCAGAACATCAAACCCTTCCTGCCCACATTGTTCCCACACCAAAGATGCATAAAAGAAGTCCAAAGACTAAAACTGGGCAGTATTGAAGTGTACTTTTCTCATTTGACTTGGTGAAGACAAGAGCAGTGGCTTTGGAAATCCTTTCTACCAGGTGGCAAATGAGAGAGAGAGAGAGAGAGAGAGAGAGAGAGAGAGAGAGAGAGAGAGAGACTGTTCAAGCCAGGGACTTCTCTACACACTCCCCTTCAACTCCTGACCCAGACCTTCCTGTCTGTTCCTGGTGCCATCTTGCTGTGCTAAAAATCATGGCTCTACACTGGCTCTGCCACCTTCCTTTCTACTGGGCCTCCTCAGCAGGGACATACCTGTAGCCCTGATCACACGTCATTCACTCCATGAACACAAGGTCCAGGGAAGAGCCTCCTAGCATCTTTCTAGGGTTATGGAGACAGGGAAGCTCCATCCTTGCTCCTATGTAAGTCTATAACTCAATCACCAGGTGTGAGTCATGTTATGTCATAGGGCCAAAATCGTCTAGGACAGCCTTGCTAAGAGCTCTAAGAACTCCAGGACCAGGCAAGGCAAAGTTTGGAGTAAGGCAAAATGATTGCAAATAATAATAATAATAATAATAATAATAATAATAATAATAATAAAGACCTTGGAATGGGAAAGATTATCAGGGAGAATAGTCCTAGCACACCAGTAGTCTTTCAACACAATGTTTTTTAAGACCTCCCTACATATTATATTGTCTCATCAAAACATCTCTGTAAATTAGGCTTAGCAGGGGCCAATCATCTTCAATTGATCAATAAGGCAGATGAGAGCCGAGAAATAAGGGCCTTACCCAGCTTCAAAGAGTGAGTCATGCTGAAGTTGAGACTAGAATGGGGGTTTTCTCTCCACCAGTGACAAAGACATCATCTATTTATAATGCTATCATATGAGACATGTATGTGTCTCTCCTAATTAGACTCATTTTGGCCAATTAAACATCACACCTTTCTGCAAGGATGTGAAGTGTTGGTCTTGCTCTAGTCTGCAGTGATGTGTGATTGGTTGGCCAAGATGATGGATTCCATAACGATGGGTTGGTCACCAGCATCTCATAGGCTTCTGAGCCAAATATTTTCTAAGGAATATAGTTGGTCGCATGTTGATGTGGTCAAGATTCCTAAAATATTGGGGCTGGAGAGATGGCTCAGCAGTTAAGAGCACTGACCACTCTTGCAGAGGATCTGGGTTTGATTCCCAGCACCCACATGGTGGCTAACAACTGTTTGTGACTGGATTTCTCCATTGTCAAGTGATATCTTTCCCTTTTTAACCAATAAGTAATCTATGGAGCAATGTTTTGAGATTGTCACCTCTGGTATACCTGGCATTTTTTGCAGAGGTTTTGACAACACAAAAAGTGACAATGGTACAAGAATTAGCAGTTGCTCAAGTTCCCAAACACTTATCTGAGGTCAAGTACACTGGACTTGATGGTGCCTATCCCACTACTGGTTTCTGCATGTGGAGGCTGTCATGACCATTGGAAACAAGGACTCTGTTTACCACAAAAAGCAGAATATTGTTGATTCAAAACAACAATACCTTATACACATTAATTTAACCTTAAACTCTTGTACAGCAACATTGGGTTGCAGCTATGTAAATTGGACACCTTGGATTATAATAGTATACCACACATGCAAAGTAGCTCAGCCACAGGCTCAGCTATAGCCACACTGGGAGGACCCTACTCTCTCACTCTGGATCTGTTTTCTCATAGGTATACTGAACTAACCTGTGCTATTCCCTGGAGTCCATTTCAGCTGCAATATTTTAAATTATTGGATATCTTCTATTTGTTCTGCATTTGCTCACACTGTATCGCATTTAAATTGTCAAGAGCTCAGTTTTTTTTTTTTTCAAGTGAAGAATCTTTTTCTGAAGAGGCTTACTAACCAACCTTCCCACAGCCACAGGCTGAGTCAACAGTTGAATCAGGATTTGAATCTTGGTATTTCTGAGCACAAAAGCAGTATCCTTCAGAACACAGCACGAGAAAGCAGATGAGTGAGCAGGGCTGGTACTGTCACTTCTAACTTATCTGTCCGATATATGCACATATTTTGGGAACATAAAAATAGACAAGGGTTGGGAGAAGGTGGCGTGCTTTGCTTTGGTATGTAGTGTCTCTCCAAAAGGCTCTTGTGTCAAAGGCCTGGTTGCCAATTGGCAGGCTTCTGGGAAGTGATAAGATTCTGAGGGCTCTGACCGAATCAATGGAGTAACCGCTTGACAGAGTCATAATTTGGCATTATTAGGAAGCAATGGAGATTTTCAGAAGTGGTACCTACTTGGAGGAAGCAGTTCACTGGGGGCATGTCCTTGGTGGCTGTACCTTGTCCTGAGCCCTCCTCTGTCTCTGCTTTCTAGCTGCCTACTATGAGGTAAGCACTGTGCAACCACGCACTTTCTGCCATGAAGTTCTGTCCCACCTCAGGCCCAGAGCAATGGGGCCAGCTGACTGTGGACTGAAACCATGAGTCGGAATAAATCTTTCCTTCTTTCAATTGTTTCTCTCAGGCAATTATTACAGCAAGGAAAAGTCAGACTGATGCAGTGGGGGATAGGGACTGTCTGCTTAATGAGTGTAGAGTTTCTTTGGAGATAATGAAAATGTCCAGAATCACATGGTAGTGATAGTTGTAGAACATTGTGATTGTACTAAAAGCTACAATGAGTATGTTTTTAAATGGTGATTTTTACATTATATGACTTTTGCCTCAATTGGAAAAAAAAAGTCCCAAAGCAAGCAAGCACACAAACAAAACCAAGTATGCCTTTTAAAATTGAATCACAATTATGAGATTGTGGACAAATGCTAACCTTACTCTTCTTCATAAAAATGGAAGATTGGAAATAACCTAACTATCCACTAATAGGAAATGAGTTAAATAAATTCCGAGATAACAAATGAGGGACTGTTGCAGAGTCATTCCAAATCATGTTTTAAAACTTTGAGTGACATAGAAGCGCTCATGATAAACTGTTCATGGAAAAGGCAGATGATATAACACGTTATGTAGTTACATATGTGGATGTATATATACCTAAGAGGTCAAGGCAGAAACATACCAAGTTGTAAACACTGGACATCCCTCTCTGGTGGGACTGCAGATAATTTTTTTTTCTTCTCCACACTTTTCTGTATAGTTCAAGTTTTCACTAGCAAACATTTGTTACTTTTATAATTAAAAAACGTACAGTAAAAATTATTCAAACAAATTTAGCAATGTTTTCTCTGTACTCTCTCTGGCTCTGGGCATAGTTCCCAGGACCTCTTCTCTCCTCTGGATCCTCCTCCCCTTCCTACCCTGCCCAGATAAATAACAGGCAGATAAATATTTCAAAGGTCCTGCTCTCAGATGCTGCCCAACCCCAGTAGCAAATTAAAGGGACATTGCCCTGCTCACAGCCCAGAGCTGGTTGTGGCCCTGGATTGATATCTCTCTCTCCTCTCTTCTCTCTCTTCTCTCTCCCCTCTCCCCTCTCTCCCCTCTCTCCCCCTCTTCCTCTCTCTCTCTCTCTCTCTCTCTCCCCCCCCCATCTCTCTCTGTCTGGAAGTACAAGAGCTCCTTGTAGGAACCTGACAGGCCTAAAAGGAAACAGCTGGTCACCATGGGCTGTGGAATGAGGGAGAAGGGGATGTGGATCCAGAAAGCCCCATGGCTCCTCCTGCTCAGGACTAGGGCAGCTTGTTAAGAAGCTAAGCAGCACAGTGAGGTCTCATCAGTCATTTAAGACCTCAGTGTGGATGAGCTTGCCACTTTGCAGAGAATAAACCAATAAGAAGTGAAGGAAGTCATGACTCCTGAGAATAATGACAAAATCAAAGCTGTTTATTTAGATCCTTTGACAATGACTCTGAGTAAAAGTATATAACATTAGAAGGATCATTTCAGGGATTTTTAAGGACAGGGGCTCTCCACCCTAGATGAAACAGCTGAGAAAGGTTTTTTGTTGTTGTTTGTTTTTTGTTTGTTTTTTTAGACAGGGTCTCCTTGTAGCCCCAGGTGCCCTGGGACGCACTATGTAGACCAGGCTGGCTTTGATCTCACAGAGATTCACTTGCCTCTGCCTCCCAAGTGCTGGAACCAAACCTGGCTGACCTGGGATGCTTTAACAGATTATACTGATGCCTGGCACCACCCACAGAGATTTGGATACCATTGTCCTCTACTGGGACTAGATAAAATGTTTTTCAGAGTCTTTTGTATTCCAGACTGACCTCAAATTTCTATGTAGTGGAGGATGATCTTGAACTTCTAATCCTCTTGCCTCTACCTCCTGAGTGCTGGGATTATGGGTGTGTACCACTATGCCCAGTTTATGAGATGTTGGGGATCCAACCCAGGGCTTCATGCTTGCTAGGAAAACACTCCACCAAATGAGCTACATCCCCAACGCCCAACCTGATATTTTCTTAACACCTCACTCCCAAAATTCTAGTCAGGATTAAGAGAGACACTGTATTTATGCCTTTCCATTGCCTCTTTGCTGTTAAGAGTATCTTATTACATTTTTACTTATTTATTTACTCTGGTGGGGTTGGGGTTTGTGTATCTCAGTACTTGTGTGGAGCTCAGGGGATACGTTGAAGGAGTTGGTTCTCTCCTTCCACCATGTGGGTCCCAGGGACTGAACCCAAGTTATCAGGCTTGGCTGCAGGGGCCTTAACCCACTGAGCCATCTCACTTACCCTGGGTAAGAGTAATTTAAAGAGTGCTGCTACAGAAAGCCTACAGAAGGAATTATCAATAAGTTATTCCTTTTATTCAGAGGACTAATTTAGGGTTTAAAAGATATACTTTACTCTAGGGCATAATCAGGATTCATAGCTTTAGGCCCTGTGCTTCTGCTGTTAGGAATCGAGCTGAAGGAAGTAATCAGAAATGCAAAGAAAGATTTATTTGGAAAGATGATATTTATAACATCAAAGGTTTTCAGACAACACTATCCTCTGTTGCTTTTGAGTCCATGAAACCCAAACAAGTTGAAATTGGTCAAAAAAACATAGGAAAACAAGTAGGGGAAGAAAAAGGCATAATGGTAAGTTTTTAGACTCGGGATGAGGATAGAATTTTCTATATGAGTTTAGCTCCTTCTGTTCGCAAACCAAAGGGGAGGTATTTGGGTTAACTCCGGAATGAGTTTTTTTTGAGAAGGGTACATACAGAGAAGAACAGGAAACAACCTCAAATGCACTGAAGAGCAGATTTCAGGGAGGCTGAACCACCAGTTGGAAAATATCTTATTGTTTAGAAACACCACAGCTGTAGTGACACAGTTGTTTTTGAATCCCCCTAGCAACAGACACCGAGCTTCGTCGGTCACACTAGGCCATTAGGATGCCTGGGTCATTCCCCTCCTGCCATGTTACTTCTACTGCTATGGTTTTCTGAGTCTTCACTCATTTGTTCTAAGACTTTAAAAAAAATTCATTAAACTGCCAAATATTAAACCAGGTACTGTTTAGGCAGCAAAGATGATGTACTAGGCAAAGGGCACAAAATTCCTGTGGTCAATATGTATCCATTCTGGTGGAGAAAGATAAAAGTCACACAGAACAGATGAGAGGTTTGAATGGAGAGGCAGGAGGGTAGATGCCAAGTTTTACTGTGTAGACATTTCTATTGCAAAGTTGGTCAATGTATCTAAGACTGGAACTTCCTGTGGAAAGTCAGGCAAGCAGGTGACCCAGTACAAGAAAGGCAGGGATTCCATACTGCCCAGGTTTCGATTTCACTTTCTGTTGCTGTGATAAACTTTGTGACTAAATGCTTGTAGGTTACAGTCTGTCATCTGAGGGAAGCCAGGGCAGGAGCTCAAGCAGGAACCTGGAAGCCAGAACTGAAGCATAGACCATAGAGGAAGGCTGCTTACTGACTCATTCCCAGACTCATATTTACTTACTTTTCCTACATAGTTCAGGTCCACCTGCCTAGGGATGGTACCACCCAGAGTGGGCTGGGCAATTAGCAATCATGAAAATGCCCCAAAGACATGCCCACAGGCCAGTCTGATGAGAGATTCTTCAACTGAGGTTCTCTAGAAAATGCTGAAAGACCCAAGACTGCTGAATTATACATGTACTAAGTCTGTTGATGGAAAGGAAGCCAGCTGTGAGAGATGTAGGCACTCTGAACTATAATTAGCTAGGAAGAGAAAGGCCAAGTGGTCCAGTTCCATGTCTCAGAATTATATTATTATTGTTATTCTTCTAAGACTGAGGGAGAAATATTATAACTATAGAAAAAATAACTTGTAGGAAAATAAATACAGTGCTATTCTAACTTCCTGGAGAGAAGAATAAAAGATCAGAGAGGGCGTGAGAGAAGGTGTCATGTTTCATGATGCAAATAGACAAACTGCCTTCAGGTGAGATCTGAAACAGCAAGGGAGCATTGGGAAGGAGTTTTCCATGCTTGATTTTAGCCAAAAGCCAAGAAGTGATGGGAGGAGCTTTCTAAGCAACTGAAAGAGGAAGTACCAAGTCCTGGACTTGGGAAGGTGGGACTTTTGCTTGCTGTACTTGAGGAAGAGCAAAGATATGAAGGAGCATAGAGAGGGGGTGAGGGAGAGGATGGAAAATGAGGTTCCTCCAGGTGAGACGGGAGTCTCCAGAGAGTGTAGAGCAAAGGAGTGATGTGAACCACCTTTGCTGTTGTTTCATGGCAATTAAAAATACTATTTTGAAAATTTCATATAATGTATTTTGATCATATTCACCCCCAACTCTTCCCCTGAATTCTTCCTAGACCGTAGTCAATTTTTATTGGCATATGTTGATTGTACCTAGGGATAGGTTTGGTAAAGACAGCTTCTTTCATGTATCATATACCTTGACCATATTCACCCAGACAATTTTTTGTTGAATAGTTTTAGATTTGCAGAAAAGATGATGGGTAAGTCAGTTCCTACATATGCCCTCCCTTTAGCCTCCTGCTGTTATACCTTATATTTGTGTGTTTGATGATTTGAATGAGAAGTGTCTCCTGCAGGCTCATGGATTTGAACACTTGACCTCAGTTGGTGGTGCTGTTTGTGGAGGTTAAAGAGGTGTGGCCTTGCTCAAGGGAGCATGTCACTAGGGGCAGGCTTTGAGAGTTCATAGCCTTGCCCCACTTCTGGCTTGCTTCCTTTGCTTCCGGATTGTGACTGAAGATATGAGCTCTTGGCTTTAGGCTTCTGCTGTCATGCTACCACTTGCTGCCAGACCTACCTGCCATGATGAACTCTTATTAAATAAACTCTTTCTTTCATAAATTGCCTTGGTCATGGTGTTTTATCACAGCAACAGGAAAGCAACTAATACAGTATGATACATTTGTTGCCACTGCTGAACAAATACTAAAACATCATTGCCGACTAAAGTCCATAGTTCATGGTAGGGATTCCTCTTTGAACTGTTTATTTTATGGGTTTTGACCAATGAACAGCATAATCTAATTTTGTTTTAGGAAGGCCCAGTTGCTTCAGTGATGGGGGACAAGGATCAGGATGGAGGAAAAGGCAGAGTGGCTGTTGTTCACCTCACCTCTGGGTACAACCACTGATTTGGGAGTAGGTAGGGAGACTTGACAAGAATTGCTGATGGACTGGTGGGGGTGGGGGGGATGGGAAGAGGGTAAGGGAAAAAAGAATTACGGGGATTAAGGATGACTAAAAAAGAGGGAAGAGGTAAAGATGACTGTAATAACTACAGAGATTTAGCTTGAGTTGCTAAAATAGGGAAACATAAGGATGGGTATGGTGTCTCATGCCTTTAGTCCCAGCACTCAGGAGGTAGATGCAGGCAGATCTCTGTGAGATTGAGGCCAGCTTGGTCTACATAGCGAGTTCCAGAGCAGCTTGGAGTAACAGGGAGTCCTTGTCTCAAAAACATAAAAAAAATAGAGAAATATTATAGAGGAAGGTGCAAGAACATATAGAGATAGTTCATTGTTTTCTTTTTTGGACAAATTTAGCTTGGAATGCTACAGGAACATTTCAAGCAAGAATTGAATTACAAGTGAAATTTGGGAGAAAAGCCTGCACTGAGGTGTACATTTGGGATCATCAGCATATATGTGGCTGATCCTGGGACTGGTTGAGGTCAACCAGAAAGAGTGTGGATGGAGAAAAGAAGAGCTGAAGATTGGACCCTGGCACCTTCCAGCATTCAAAGATCCAGAGCATGAAGTAGAAGCTACAAAGCAGGCTGAGAGAGAAGCCAGTGAAGTGACCCAATGAGTGAGCCCCAGGATGTCCAGAGAACTTTCTCCAGTGGAGAGCTGATCCAGTGGAGCCCTATACTGCTGGAAGGTAAAGCAGTGGACCTAGAACTGACCACACGCACTATTGATGGCTCTGCCAAGAAGGGAAATCTAAGGGCACAGGCTGAGTGGGGGCAGTTTGAGAAACAGAGAGGGGCTGTTTCCTGCATGAGTCAGAATAGAGACAATGATCTCAAGGAGTTTTGAAATAAAGTAGAAAAATGAAGCCATAGCTGCACAGGGCCTGGGGCTCTGTATCACCCAGTTAGTATCCTAGGTGACCGATCTCAGACTGGCTCTCTAGCCAGCCTGGAATTGCCCATTCCAATCCCTTGTCCTTTTGTCTGTTGCCAGACTGGAGTGTCATATGGCACCAGGCTTGATGACACTCAAGATGGGAATTTCCCAGAGTATGAGCATAGCATCCACCCAGGATTCCCTATCAGAGGCAGTTTATCTGACCCACACTAGGATAATCTTTTTTTAACTAAGCAAATGACTTTTTTTTTTTTTTTTTTTTTTTGCATTGTCACTGTCACTGTATAGCCCAATCTAATCTTTAAATTGTGATCCTCTTGTGTCAGCCTCCCAAGTGCTGGGATTACAAGTATAAACCACCACATTGAGCTAGCAAATGACATATTTTAAAACACCTCTATTCACAAAACGTGTGTGCTCTGCAGTCTTGCAGTCTCTTCTATCAGGCCTCAAATCTCCCGAGGGAACCTTTCTCTTTCTCAGGGGCCCAGTCCCTCAATGCTACCCTGAATGAAGTCTGGCCTCCAGTATTACCTGCAGCCTCCTTCTCTCTTCTAAATCTTTCTACCTTGCTACTCAGGCCTCTGAGGATTCTGACACAGCAAGAAGCAGTTGAGAGAAGTTAACATTTCCAAGGGAGTAACTCAGAATGGCATCATATCTAATGAGGGCACTGGTGGTGGCTCCCCAGGGCTCTTTGGGGAAGAGAGCCTTCACACTCAACTCCGAAGACTCTATCCCCTGGTACTATATATTGAGGTCTCCCTCCCAGTGACCAAGTCAGCCTTCATTAGCTTTCTCTATCTTCTCTCTCTCTCTTCCTTGGCACAGCACCCATCACTCTGACTGACTCACTTGGAAAATGTGAGAAATTACTTAATAAAAAACTGCCCTGGGGAAATGGCCAGGTAACAGGCTTTAAAGAAAGGATTTCATCTCATGCTTCATTTAATAAAAACTATGCTCACAGCACTGCCACTGGTAAGAAAGATAGCAGATAAGTGGAGAGGTGAGCAAGTTGTCAGTGTTGGAGTGTGTAATCTCTGAGAGTGAAGTTTCCCTTTCTGGATACAAGGGGAGCCATGCCAAAGAAAGTAGCTCTACCTTGTCCTGCATTGAAGCAGAGCCCAGGACTCGAGCCAGCCTGATGGCAATCCCAGCTGTGTGACTTTGGGTAATCGATGTAGCCTCTCAAGAATTTCATGCAGGAAAACGGCATGGATACACTCATACCTATTTAACTTGAACTTCTTTCACTGTATCAGACACAATGCTAAATTATGTAGACAGACAAGACTGAGCATTGCATTAGCAACACCACAGGCTGAAATGTCAGGCCAAGAAAAAAGGGATGACAGGGATGGAGCCAGTTAAAACGGGGATGGAAAACTTCTATTGTCATGTAAGAAGGAGTGCCACTGGCAATTGGTGTGTGCTCAGAAATCCTGGCAAGATGGATTCCTGTCCTGCAGATGACTTCTGTCTTCGTTTCATATCCATAAAGTTCCCATTCAAAGGAACCAGAGTCAAACAGGAATCAAAATTGCACTGACAAGCAAGTGCAGAACTTGGGCAAAAGTGGGCTGAAGAATGAGGTAGGTTCTGAGTGGAATAAGGTTCCCTCCCTCCCTGTAGGTCCAAATCCAAAGTTGATGAGCTCATCAACTTCCAGCAGGAGTTGTTTAAAAGAAAGGGTAGCAATATAGCCAAATTTTAGAGCAAACACTGCTTAACTTGCCCATCCAGCTAGCTGTTGAAAGATGCATCACAACACTCCTGCCTACTTCCCTATAGGAGCAAATCAATAATTGCCATCATCCAACATTTAGACTGCTACTTCTCTTTAGGTGACTATGGGGAAGAAGTAGCAGGGATAAACTTTAATAGGATAGGGGCAGACTCCTTTCTCCTAAGTGAGCCAGGTGAAGAATCTAGAAGCCCAGGGGAAAGCTCCAAAGGCCGTTGAGCCAGGGGGAGGACAAGGTACAATCTGTATCTTACTGGCTTTCTTCTGCCAAGATTGACTCAGGAGGAATGGTGAGGTAGACCACTGTGAGGAGGTCAGAAGCTAATAGGAGTGACTTTGACTCGTGTGGGAAGTAGTGAGGTGTCATGGTCTGGTGCTGGAAGCACTTGCTTCCAGCCCCCAAGTGGTTGCCTTCCATCACCTTTTCCTTAGGTCAAATGGGACCTGGCCTCAGACTTATGATGTGGGTAAGGTCAGGCCAGTGCAGGTCAAAATGCGTGGGGACCAACCAGCCTCCACTCCTGTCTCATCTTCCAACTTTGAATGCTGGGAGATTTCATTCTTCGGTGAGTCTCCTAATAACGTGCCTCTCTTAGGGTACTGAGGGAGAATGAAGACTAGACCCAAGGTGATGATTATTTCATAGAGTAAGCAGTGAGTGATTGCATTTTATGAGGCAGAGCTGCAGTATTTTACTGGTTCTGGGCACAAAATATGTTAAAATTATTTTATGGCTGTGTTGATATAAAGACCATCATCCAGGCTAAATTCATTATTATATAGTCATTACTATTATGTTAACTTCCTCCCTCTGATAGCAAAATAAATTAGAAATGAAACATTTTTGTGAGCACTTAAAAATGTATCATGATATGGGGGTTGGGGTTCTGGAGAGATGGCTCAGTGGTTAAGAGCACTGGCTGCTCTTGTAGAGGACGCACTTTCGGTTCCCAGCACCCACATGGCCACTAGCAACTATCCATAACTCCAGTTCTAGGGGATCTCATGCCCTCTTCTGGCCTCCATGGGCATTGTAACACACTGATGCACTTATATGCAGGCTAAACACTCATGCACATAAAATTAAAATAAATACATTTTTTAAATTTAAAAAAAGTCATGATGAGGGGTTGGAGAAATGGCTTACTCCAGAGTACTTGCTGCTCTTGTAGAGGACCCAGATTTGGTTCCCAGCATTGCAACTAGTGCCTCACAATCACCTATAACTCCAGTTCCAGGGGAATCCAATTCCTTCTTCTGGCCACTGCAGGCACCTGCATATGTGTGGTACACAAACACACTTAGGCACACACATATGCATATGAGATAAATAAATCTTTAAAAACCATTAAGATGAGCTAAACCTGGTGGCATGTGACTCCAGCTACTCTGGAAGCCAAGGCAAGAGAATGGTAATTTCAAAGCCCACCTGGGCTATCCTACAGAACAAGTTCAAGGCCAACCTGGGCAATTCAGCAAGATCCTGCCTCAGAATAAAGAAGTGAAAAGATGGCTGGGGCTATAGCTTAGTGGTAGATCACTTGCCTACCATACTAGAGGCCCAAGCCCCTAGGTTCTTTTTCCATTACTGAAAAACAATTTATTATGAGGGTGCTGAAATATAGCTCAGTGGTAGAGAACTTGTCTGCCATGCCCAAACTTTGAGTTTTATTACTAGCACCAAATAAATAAATAAATAAATAAACAAACAAAGAAACAAGTAAATAAATAAGTATTGCATATTCTAGGTATTGCTGTGACTAATAGCTAAGTTGTCCTTGGTGGAAACTGTGATTTTCAGGTGCCCCAGGCTTGCCCCACCCACCCTAAGGTTTAGACACTCCCATCCCTTGAGTATTTTGGAAACTTCAAAGACTAGGGTCTTTCCCTCCTTGCTCTATTGTTTCTACCTAACACAGTGACTAACATCCCAAGAAAAAATGAGTTCTAGTTCAAATGGGTAGGTATTCAAAAAGCTCATAAAAAGGAACCAAGAAAAAATATTAGTTATGTACACATTCTATTGAATTAAAGAACACAGGGCTGGAGAGATGACTAACAGTTAAGAGGACTGGCTGCTCTTGCAGAGGACCTGAGTTTGATTCTCAGCACACACATGGTGATAACCATCTGTAACTCCAGTTCCAGCAGATCCAACACCCCCTTCTGGCCTGTATGAGCACCTGCATACATGTGACATACACTCACAGAGACACACACATATACAAAAGTAAAAATGAAATTTTTATAGTAGTTGGACAAATAGCAGGATGGTTATACTGAGAAATGAATTAATAAACCAGAAGATGGAATTTTCAAGCAGAAAAGAAAGGAAACTTAGGGGAGAGGGGTTTAGATGGGAAATGTGTTGTTCTTGTTGATAATGTTTGTTTTGAGAAAGGGTCTCCCTGTGGTCCCAGCTGGCCTGGAACTCACTATGTAAACCAGGCTGGCCTCAATCTTACAGAGATTTGCCTGTGTCTGCTTCGCTACTGCTGGAATTAAAAGCTTGTGCTGCTGTGGCCTGGTTAGAATTAGAAATGTTAATATCTGGATAACTAGTGTTATCAGAAGAGAAATTGATCAGAAAGTGGCAAAGAGACAAAAATATGAAATAAGACAGATGCAGTTCCCGAAATATAAAAAGAGCAAGCTCAAACTGAAGATTTACAGAGGGGAGAGGGAGAGGGAGAGGAGGGAGGGAGGGAGGGAGAGAAGGAGAGGGAGAGGGAGAGGAGGGAGGGAGAGGAGAGGGAGAGGAAGAATGGAGGGGAAGAGAGAGAGACAAAGAGGGAGAGGGGGAGGGGGAGGGAGAGGGAGAGGGAGGATTCAGAACCATCTGTAGTTCAATGAAATTTAAAATTATCCAAGACAAATATTCTAAAAGCCTAGCAAGTTCATCAAGTTGCCTGGATAAAAAAATTAATGAGTAAACGTCACTGGTGCTTCTTATACCAATAGTAAATAACTGGAAGATGCAGTTGAAGAGAAGATACAGCATCAATGAATACACGTCTGCAGGAATAAATCCAAAATACACTAAAGAATAAGAATGGAGAATGTCACTACAAGATATTTTTAAAGCATAAGTAGGAAAAGACTGTATTTATGGACAGGGAAGCTGATTATCCTGAAGATGTCAATTCTTCCCTGTCTGACCTTTAAAGTAAAACAATTTCAGGTCGGCAAGATAGCTCAACAGGTAAGGGTGCTTGCCGCACAAGCCTGGAAAGCTGGGTTCCATTTCTGGAACTCTTGTAAAGATGGAAAGAAGAAACTGACTCCACAAACTTTTCCTCTGATTTACACACACACACACACACACACACACACACACACACCATACATACAATAAATAGATAAATAAATAAATGTTTAAAAAACAAAAGCAATTCCATGTAGAATCTATTAGGATTTTTTAAAAATGAAATTTGAAAAAATATTTCTCAGGTTTATTTGAGAAACTATAGGATGAAGACTAACAAGGGCATTTGGTGTCTAAGTTTGAGGCTTATTGTGGTTAAGCAGGTTGGTGCCCTGCTCTTTGATAGACTGATCAGCATAATTAGTACCTAGTTCAGATGCAGATCCATCAACATGGGCTCTAGCTCATATATTCACTCAATGGGGAAAGAGGGGTTAGTCAACTTACAAAACAGGAGATTGATGGATTCCCAACTTGAAATAAGTTAAAAACAGATCCCTTCTTTATAGTTACATATAGATTGAGGCTTTGATGTAATAAACAAAATTTCAGTATTCTTAGCAGAAAATATTTGTAAATACCTTTTATGCTTGGGGATAAAAAGAGTTCCTTAAAATACAAAAGCACTGACTAAAATATAAAAGCTGAATTAGTTTGATTGCATTAAAATTAAGAATTTTAGACTGGACATAATGGTGCATGCCTGTAATTCTATCACTTGGAAGGCTGAGGCAGGAGGATTACAAGTTTAAAGTCAGTCAACTTAGGCTACATGGTGAGACCCTGAAACGAAAAAAAAAAAAAATTGTGAAGTTTTGTTTTTTCAGAGATAATTTAAAGAATTAAAAAGACAAGTTATATATTGGAAGAACAGATATATATGGATATATATATATATATGTACTTAAAATTAGAAAAATGATGCTGTTAACCCAACAGAAATATGGGCAAGAGATGTGGACAGAGATTTATTACATAGAAGGACAACACTATGGCACATAAACATTGAAGAGACACTTATCCTTGGTAGTCAGGAAAATACAAGTCAAAGTCATATCAAAACACTATTTTATACCCATTTAGTTGGTAAGATTTTTAGAGCCTGGAAACACTGGGTTTTGAGACTACAGGGATTCACATCCACAGGGTTTCTTGTACATGGCTGATAGTAGACATCAGTGGAAACCTTTCTAAAACAGTTTTGACTTATTCTCCAAGGTTAAAAATTAACAAACCCAGGAAACATGTGAAAGAGTTCTCTGAGCAGTACTTTTCATACTCTGAAAAATCTAGAAACAACCCAAAGGACCACCTACAGAGAGTAGAGGACTGTGCTGTGGTATATTCTCACCTCACTGCTAAATAAATAAACTAGTGATAGACAGCAATATGTCCAAACTTCAGCAAAGTATTTTCAAATAAAAAGTCAACTCCCTCTACATTATATGAATCATGACTTCATTTTTACCAAGGTACAAATGGGTAAAAGGGCTAGAAAGATAGCTCAGTGGTTAAGAGCACTGGCTGCTCTTGCAGAGGACCCAGGTTCAATTCCCAGCACCCACAGAGTGGCCAACAACCGCCTGTAACTCCAGTTCCAGGGGAATCCAACACCCTCTCTGACTGCTCAGGCATTGCACGACATGGGTGCACTTATACACATGCAGGTAATACACTCATATATACAAAATAAAAATAATAAATAAAAAATTTGAAAACAAATGGGTAAAATTTTAGAAATGACATGTTAGGAATTATAAATCTAATGAGACTCTGAAAAAGGAGGCTAAAGAATGAAGAATACAAAATTAAGATTATGACTACTTAATGTGAGGGGAAGTAGGAGAAAACTAGTTGTGAGGAGTCACTGAGGTGTGGGATGTAAATTCACAGAGATAGAGCAAGTAGAACAGACTGGCGGTTACTAAGGGCTGAAGGGAAGAGGAATACAGAGTGACTTTAAGGTGACAAAAATGCTCTGGAATCAGACAGGGGTGCTCATGATAGAACACTATCGATGTATAAAACCCACTGAGTAGCATTCTTTAATAGATGAATATTATTATATGATAACCATACATCAAGTTTTTGAAAAACAAGAAATAATCTTACAGAACTAAAGTAGTATAGTGTTTGTGTTTAAAGATATACTAATAATTAGTGGAAAATTTAGAGTAGAGCTACAGACATATGACCAACTGATTTTCAGCAAAAGTAGTAAAAGAGTAGTCTCCTTAACAAATGGTGCTAGGAAAGTGTATGTGTGTATTTTAAAAAGCTTAAATACATAAATAAAAGGACTTTGACCTATGCCTTAAACCATATATATGCCTTAAACCAAGTAAAATGTGAAAGTATAAAAATTAACAGGAAAAATCTTTTTGACCTAGAGTTTGGCAAAGAATTCTTAGATACAGCATCAAAATATGTTCCCTTTAAAAGTGCAAAGATTAAGATTAATCTTATTAAAATTAATTTTTCTTTAAAGGATATGTCAGCTGGGGATATAGCTAATACCTGTAGTCCCATCACTTGGGCTGCCTGAGGCAGGAGGAAGATTCCCCAAGATCTGGGCTACATAGGGAGACTCTGTTAAAAAAAAAAAAGCCAGGTGTGGTGGTTCACTGGGAGGTAGAAGCAAAAGGATCCACACAAGTCTGAGGATAACCAGATCCACACAGTGAGTTCCAGACCATTGAGGGTTACAGTAGGAGACCCTCAAGACAAAAAAATAAAACAAACAAAAGACATGTTCCCAAGTCCGAGGCTAACCAGATCTACACAGTGAGTTCCAGATCATTGAGGGTTACATTGGGAGACCCTCAAGATAAAAAAAAATATGATAAACAAAAGACACTAAAGTAGGGTGTAGCACAAATGAGGCCCTGAGTTCTATTCCATGGAAAAACAAAACATAAACAGAAAACAGTAGAAAAAAGCATTTCAAAGTATGTAAAGACAAGTTCCATGTAGGAGGACTTTTCAAATGACATTTTGAGATACTTTCATCCAGAATCTATGAACAATTCTCCAAACTCTCTAAGAATTATAATTAAGTATTAATAAGTGGTGAGCTGGATAGCTTCAGCTGTCAACTCGACACACCTAGGAAGAGGGAACCTCAGTTGGGGAGTTTCCTCTATCAGACTGGCCTGTGGACATGTCAGTGAGGCATTTTCATGATTATTGAGTGATATAGGAAGGCCCAGGCCACTGTGGGTGTGCCACCCCTGGGCAGGTAGTCCTGAGCACAGACAGGCTAGGTACATGCCAATAAACAGCATTTCTCTGTGGTCTGTACTTCAGTTCCTGCCTCTGGGCTCCTTCCTTGAGTTTTTGCCCTGGCTTCCCTTAGTGATGAATTATGATTAGAACACTTAAAATGAAACAAACCCTTTCCACCCCAAGTTGCTTTTGGTCAGTGTTTTATCACAGCAATAGAAAGCAGACTAAGACAAGTGGTGAGACGGAAGGCGTTCTGGAGCTGATGGATGTGTTTATGTCATAGAGTATGGAGGCAGCTTCATGAGAAGAGCCATGTTGCCAAACTTACCAAGTTGTGCACATTAAATAGCACAACTTTTAATATGGCAATCACATTTCAATAAAATGTTTTAAATATAATTCTGGGTACCATTTAAAAAACAACTCTTGGGCTGGTGAGATAGCTCAGTGGGTGGAAGTGCTTGATGCCAAGCCTGTCAACCCAAGCTTCATCCCCAGGGCATGGAAGGAGAGAACTGACTCGAGTCGTCCTCTGACCTCCATATACCTCACACGTACACACACACACACACACACAGAGAGAGAGAGAGAGAGAGAGAGAGAGAGAGAAAATGAAATATAACAATAAAAAAACTCTGTAAGAAGGAAATGTACCACCCAATTAAAACTGGGCAAAAATGTCAACTGACACTACCAAAGCTAACATGAGAATGCCCAATACGCACATGAAAAGGAGTTAAGGTCATTATTCATTAGTGAAAAGTGAATTAAAGCCATGATGAAAACCCATATTAATTTAGTATGTCTCAAATTAAAGACTGATTGTATCAAATGTTGGTGAGGGGGAGAGACAACTAACTTTTACTTGTTCCAGGTCGGGATGTAAAACAGCACAATTACGTGGCAAAACAGTCTGGCATTATCCCAAAAGGTTGACCATACCTTACCATATAAACCACTCATTCCACTGCTAGGCTTTTGCCCAAGAGAAATGAACTCATATGTGTGCACAAAGACTTGCACACAGATGTTCATATCAGCTGTATTTGTAACAGCCCCAAACTACAGTCTGTCCGTAGAATGAATAAACAAACAGCACACATCTACAGCAGAATAAAAGTGAACACAGCACAGTCGACTCTCAAGATAGTTAAGCTAAGTGAGCCAATCCAACAGAAATTCATCAGACTCTGCACTCTCATTTGCAGAAAGCAGACCAGCTGTGGCAACTGTAGAATGGGTGCGGAGGGAAGTGAAGACTAGATTTTAAAGGTAATTAGGACAATCTGGGTGGCGCTCATTATCTGGGTCATGTTGACAGTTCTGTGGGTGTTAACATATGTCAAAGTGTATTGAATTGCACAGTTGATTATCTATGTCAGTCATACCTCTGTAAAGCTGATATTAGTTTGTGTTCATAACTGGAAGTCAGATGATGGGTATTTGGGGGCTGACCACGCTATTTTCTACACTTCCGTGTTTGAAACTTTCCTGGTAAAGAAAAATGTATCCATGCTGTGACTGCTTTAAAGTATGTTCACAAATTATTTGACATGCTTATCTTCCTTGAGGGGGAGTTGTGCCCAGCTCTTCAGGGTAGCTTGTACTTAGAGACAGCATTCAATGCTTAGGAGAGAGTGGCGGTGATGATGTGTGACTTCAGAGACAGGTCATATTGTGGCAGAGGAGTCATTGTCTTCTCTCCTTGATGCTCTCCCTCTGGGGGAAACTATATGTTGTGAGAACACTCAGGCAGCCCAGAGGTGAGGAAGTGCAGCCCAGGGCTCACAGCCAACGCAGAACTGTATTCTCCTGGCATCAGACACGATAGGCACTCCAGAGAGTGTTCCCCAATGCAGTTAAGCCTTCAGATTTATTAGACTGTAGACTAATCTATTCCAAAATACCCCAACCTCAAGATCTACAAAATAATCATGTCTATTGTTTTAAGCCTTTATTTTTTCACATCATTTTCTAGGTGGCAACAGATTGGTAATATACGAGCATTAAAAAAATTCAAAAGATAAGCAGAAAATTCATCTATAGGAAACATGATGCTCTACCTCACCACAGGCCAGAAAACAGTGGAGTGGAATAAGAGTGGACTGACAACCTGGGAGCTGCAAACCGAATAAATCTTTGCCAAATTAAGTTGATCTCCTCAGATATTATTTTGTCACTGCAAAAGAAATCTGACTAACACATTATGGTAAAATATACCTAACAGTGCTCCCGTCGGCAGCACATACAATAAAATAGGAACCATACAGAGAAAGTGAACTTGGCTCCTGGGCAAGGATGACACCCAGATTTGTGAAGCATTCCATATTGTTACAAAGAAGATTGTGCTGAGGGTTGAATGAGTCCAGCTGCCGATCTAAAAGATATGGGCATTTTTGAACTGAGAAAAGACAAGAAGAGAAAGGGCCAAGTGAGCCAGTTTTAAGATGATTTTGTTATGAAGACAATAAAATCATGAGGTTACATTGACTTCAAAAATACATAACATAGAATTTGCCATCTTAACCGTTTGAAATGTACCATTCAGTGGAACATATTTATATTGTTGCACAACCATCACGAGCATCCACCTCCACAGCCTTTCATCTTGTAAAATGGAAACTCTGTACCCTTACTGGTACTTTGCAATCTTCCCGCTCCCCCATCAGCCACCACTCTGTTTCTGTCTCTGATTTTGACTAATCTTAGTCTTCATGTTAGTGGAGTCATATAGTATTGATCTCTTTGTGAGAAAATACTTTTTGATAATCAGAAGCCCGAGAATCCAAATAGTATCATTTGCCACCTCATTCAAATTAGGGCACAAGTAGACATTTCAAGAGTACTATCTCTTCCAAAAAAATGAAGAAACTCAAATAACCTTCAGCGGTAAGAAGGTCTTTGCTTTCCTGATGAGGAAACTGAGCCTCTGAGATGGGTTTATATGCATGGAGAGGAATACTGTTGGTACTGTGGGTTGTGTGTGTCTTGTGTAGGTAACAGTATGCTCACAGGCTGTCCATACCAGCGCCTTTCTTCCTCCTCTGCTACTGAGGGAGTTCACATCCAAAGAATGGCACAGTGTCTGTGTCGTCATCACCTGAGCACGTGTGCCTCCCTAAGAACCACCTTCTGGATCCTCCAGCTTTTCCTGGTGAATGCTCTGTGCTGCTTTCCCTACCCCCTTGGGCCCATCTTGCTCTCTCCTCCTGACTAAAGCCAGCACTGATATCTGCATGCACTACCCCTCTCCCTATGCACAGATAGGGGAACTAGCTAACCCCCATCTGTGGGCAGCAAATGCAGGGCCAAAGATTCCCCTTCTGTGCCTGCTGCTCACTGTGTCCTTGGCTATCGGCAGTCCTACACAGGATGCAGCTCCCCAGCAGCCAGCCACCTTTAGGCCTCTCAGATGCTAGGCCTCCAGGCAGCTGTTGTCAGGTGAGCTGAGAAGTCACAGCCCAGACTCTGTGCTGTGGTCATGCATCTGGGTCCAGACTGCCCCAGGGGGTTGGCTCCACCTAGTCCAGGCCTCTGTGTGAACAGGATTTCTGGCCCTACTGGAAGGACCACATACTTCTGCAGATAGTTCCAGAAAGAGGATGGATGGATGAGGCCCTCTCTCCTTCCTCCTACTTCCTCTCCACCCAGGCTGGCTAAACCCAGGGCCCTGGGGGTAGAGAAGGGCTGGCCACAATGCAACTTTCGGGGAGGGAGGATTCATCATTGCTTTCAGCCTGGCCGGATGTCCTCAGGGCAGTAGAGCCCCTTGGGGCAGCCAGGCCATGGCTACCCAGGTTTCCTACCAAGCCAGCCAACTCTCCTACCATGGACAGCAAGGTACAGAATGGCCAAAGCCCAAGAGACAGCAGGAAGTGACCCTTACGTGAGTTCCCTGCTCTACTGTCCACAAACTACTGTTGGATTTCATTTGACATTTGAGAGAATAAGACACAAGGGAAGTGACCAGCCCAAAGTCACATGGCCATGTAGCTATGCCCAGTGAGAGTGGCGAAGGCACCTGAAAGGCCCCCAGATTGCAAGCTGTGGAGGACTTAGAGTACCAGGCTAAAGCATTTTCTTGTTTGCATTGATAATTGGCTTTGTGCCCTTGTGGCACCCCAGCCACATTCAATAACACAATCATTGTGCCTCCAGATACATAGACACTAGAGCAACCCATTTCCACTTAACAGAGAGTAAATCCTGCACAGATGCTCCAAGGTGGGACATAGATACAGATACCAAGATGTACTGAGCCCATGCAGTAGAGCTACAGACACAGAGCCATCCCCAGGGCCATGGCATTGATGCAAACCTCCCCTGCAACGACACTCCCCCGACTTGTATCCTACCACACACACATTAGTGTGCAGATGCAGAGCCCTTCAGGCCCACCCACAGGCCTTGTGGTTTGGAGCCTGGGAGAGGCTTGCCTGTGTCCATTACTATAGCAGGCATTGATGAGAATCCTAGAACAGCCGTCAGTAAGCTGAATCCTGGGTGCTGAGCTCCCGTAGTGAGTCACTGTCTTTTCCCGTACCACATGTCAATCAAGCACTCCCTTGGCTGCGTTTCAGCGCCTGTCTTGCCAAGACCTTTCCTCCTCTTGGCATCATGGGAACTGCTGAGCTCTGAGCTCCAAGGAACTCACCCTGGGAAGCAGGCGACATTATCTTTCTCCATTGGTGGAATGGGGCAGGTGGGGGAAGGGAGGCCCTGAGTCAACCAAGGTCCGGCAGCAGTGAGCAGTGGCAGGTCTTTTTTCAGCCAAACCTCTGCAGGACACTGCTCTCCTTTCTCTCCACGCCCTGCCTCCCTAACTTGCAGAGATGCCACACAAGGACACAGCCATGTCTAAGGCGGGCAGAGGAGACAGAGGCCCCTGCAGAAGCTAAGAGCGGAAGATACAGTAGGTCTGATGCCCTTTCCACACTTCCTCATTGTGCCTTTCTAGACCTCCAACTCCAGATCGTGATTAGAATTTATAAGCTAGGACTGAGAGGGGACTAGCCCCCACTCCCGGGCCTTATTACTTTGGGGTGCTCCACAAGGACAGAAAGCTGATAAGCACAATGTCCTGTCTGGATCGCAGTATATATAAGGTCAGTGATGAGCTAGGCGAGACTGAAGTCACACAAAGGTTTTCTGTCTCTGAAACTGCAAGACAATAGTCTGTGGGTCCAAGGAGAAGCAGCCATGATTCTGCAATGTATTAGAGAGGACCTGCTCAGGGGGAGAAGCACGTGAGTGCCGTCTGATTTTTCTCTGATTCTCAAAACCTATCACTATTGCTGTCATTATTATTATTGTCAGGCACAGTCTTATATAGCCCAGGCTGACCTCAAACTCACTGCCAACTGAGCTACGCCCGCAGCCCCCTCCAAGCCTGTTGGATGAAATGGTTACAAGCTGCATTTGCCTAGCACATCACTGTCTGCAGACTGCTGCCAGCTAGACTTCATTTTCATCACTTCACATGGTCATCTGGGAAGAGGAGTGGTTTGGGGCTCAGGTATCACTCAGTCAAACACTGGCTCTGCTGTGTCCTGACACTTTGACCTGGGGCAGGTCTTGTAGCTCCTGAGAGCCCCTTTTCTTCATTTGTACAATGGGCATAAAGATTAGCCCCGCTCCTTCCTTGGGAGTTGAAGGCCATTTGTAGCCTCCAGCTTGGCTATTGCATGAGCTTTTTCTTGGGGCAAAATGAGCATCCACTCTCCATAGACAGGGCACCAACAACTGACCAAAGTGTGATTCCATTAAATTTCAACCTGGCAAACCAATGAGTTTACTGGGCTTAATTATAGGGCATGGGCTAGGGGTTGCTTACAGGAGTGTGGATGACCCCAAAGTAGCCACATCACTGGAACAGCTCATCACAGTGTGGATGACAACGTCCCCATAGCTCCACAAATGGAATCACCCATTTAATTAACTTTCTGAACTCTGTATACTTTAGCACCTCCCAAGACCATGGGACTACATAAAGCTTGGGGAGAATTACATACAGCTGGGAAGGATGTGTAGGGAAGAGTGGCTAGACTCTCAGGTGAAGGTCTCACGACCTTCCCTACCCCTTTCTTCTGCGAGTAAATCCCAACAAGCACAATCTTGAGGGTCTCTTGTAAGTAGCCACAGATGCTCTGGCGAGGATGGCAGTGGCTGTCATGTTTGGAGGACAGCATTCTACTCCACTGGCTCCCAAGGAGGGGTCTGCATACATTAACTGGAGATGGTCATTAGTTGGAGATGCTCCACCTCCAACTACAAAGGACTCAGGTTGGCTGTAAATTCAGCCTTAGCCCTCAGCATTCACGGGGGGACTACTGCCTCCCAGCGTCAGCAGAGGAGCCTTGGTAAGATCCAGTGCCCTGACCTAACCACATCGGGTCAACCCAGGACACTTGTTCAGACCTCCAAGTCCTGTGTTCTCTCTCAGGGCTGATCATGGATGCCACTGCCCTGTCATTTAGCCCTTACTCTGGTAAGGGCCTGGAGTCAGGCCCAGAGGTAGGGTTTGAGGAGGCTGGGACTCCTGGGGCTCAGGAGGGCCTGGTGCTGCTTGGCAGTTTCTGTACTGACTTGGTACAGTCCTGAAACATTTACTTCTGAGGTTGAAAACAGACCTGTGATGATGTCAGTCAGGCAGTGGTTGAAATGAGTCAGGACTAAGTAGAAAGGGACCTGAGGGACAGGTAGGAAGATGGAGCTATTCTGTAATTTGAAGGATGGTTACACCCAAATTGTCAAATTGATAAATATATATCAAATGATATCAAGCTTTTATATGATTAAATCAGTCATATTTTAAAAATAAACTGGAGCTTGCCTTTGAGAACTCTCTGAGCTCAAGGACAGGCTGACCCCTTCTGCAGCTTGTGGACTCAAGTGGAAGCTTTACCTGCTGTCAAGAGTGTATATATCCTTATGTACACAGACACATTCTTATACATGCAACATACTCATGTGTATGCTTATGAGACCTAAATGGGGGAAGAGATAGGAATGGGGTGGGGGACATTGGACAGCTGCTGAACTGTTTGCTGTTAGGGCTGAGCACTCTGAAGGTATCCATAGAATAAGGGATGGGGGCAGGGGTGGGATAGGGGTAGTGGAGAGGGTGGGATGGAGGTAGTGGGGAGGGTAGGATGGAAAAGAATGTGCCCTGAGCTGCAGCTAGAATAAACTGACCATCACCCCAAACGCACTGTTTCTCTTCTACCACGTTCCAGCCCCGCCCCCCTTTCTGGGATCCCTCCAGGTCCTCTGAAGCTGGGCTGAACCAGCTCTCTGTCTAGGGCAGAGGCATTCATCCACATATTGAGATGCT